TTGAGAATTAATGGCAAATCCACTTGAAAATCAGGTCTAAATTGGCCGCTAAATGAAATGATCGCGTTTTCTGTTAATTGCGTTTTAATGTTGCCGTTGTCGTTTCTGTGAAGCTAAGCGCTCAAAGCCATTTCAGTGGCTTTTGCTGGGCCTAGAGAAGAGGTCGAAGAAGAAGAAGAACAAAAAGAAGAAACTACCACTACAACAGATACAATAAAAGTTTCATCCGTTTGAGTAAATATTTACTCTCGCTAATTTGCACATTTATTTGCAGATCGACACACCGTGGAGGAAGCTAATAAAGTCCCATATATAATATTTACTGTTAGGCTCCTTCTCGGTGCCCCCCCCCCCGCCGGTCGGGGGGGTCCAGAGGTCGACGACATGGAAATCCACACCAGACAAAAGCACAGAGCAGGGAACCAATCGCAGTGGTGGAAACACGCAGGCAGATGAATATATATCAGCGCTGTCACAGGCAGCAGCAGTTCATTCTCAGACAGACAGAAGCCAAGAGGCTGGAGCTGAGTTATGGAGGCAATTGCATCACTACGTCACTATTTTTTTCTTAATACACACTTGGAGCGCTATATATGTATACAGTAAATTGACTTTATTGAGGTAAAAATCTTTCCAGCTGTAATATCCAGGCAGAAACGCAAAAAAGAAAAGAAAAAAAGAAGTTTGCACTTGCACGGAAGTGACGGCAGAGCTTTAGCTTCCGACCCCTGGCACTAAACGTACAACATACAAACTACCAGCAGAGACGTGGATATTATTGGTGCTAGTACTCAGTTTTCGGGACCACTGGTCTCTTTAATTGATCGTCGCACTTGTTGCTCTTGGACTCGAACGCAGGACCTGCTGCATGTAAGGCAGGTGTGGTAACCACTAGACTACAGATCCGCAAACTGCTACTACTATGTAACTGAAGCCCTGCCTTCTTTCAAATCAAACTACTGCCACCATCTGGATCGATGTTGTACTGCAAAACATTTCCACAAAGAATCGTCCTGATGTCAAAAGGGAAATGGAGAAAATGAAGACAGAGGGCGGGGTCACTGAAGAAAAATGACTTTGGTGGAAGCTGTGGTTTAATTTTAAAGGAAGATTCTGTATTTATTTTAAATTAAATACAGCCAACAGCTCAAAGTCTCCGCATGTTAATAAATCCATTATTTTATCCAAATATTTTAATCATGATTTTCCGCACACAGGAAATGATGTTTGGAGCTCGGAGAGGAACCGGAGTCAACAAGCAAAAACAGAAACAGCAGCATTAAAATTCAAATGATGTCAAAGCCTCAAAGGGAAGGGAGTGGAACCGATGCTGACTGAATGAAAAGGAGACACTTGAGTGCCTGTGTGTCCGCGTGTGAGTGACTGCGCGTGTGTGGGAATGTGAACATGCGTGCGAAAGCACAGTTTCCCAAACTCCTGCAGGCAAGCCATTCCATTTGCTCTCACCAGGGGGACGGTCGCCACTTATCAATTTATGAATTGAATTTCATTTTCTGCTTCCGACACTCAGTGTGTGGGGTTCACCGAGTGTGAGGCGCCTTTCATTTCCAGTGAGGACTTCCTGGTAGCGGCGCAGACAAAGAGAGTCACACACACATAGGCGGGGAATCCATTAGTAACGTGAGAGCCGTCATTGGCTCCTCAGTTTTCTGAACGCGCCCCAAATCGTCATGTTTAGTTTCCGTCGGTTGAGCCACCCACAGCGGCCAAGGATTGTGTGGAGATCGCTGCAGAGGTGACCTGGAATCTCAAGGGTTGGTCGATCCATAATGCCACTGTAATTACCACCCACGCCACAAACACAATCAATAGCCAGGGATGAAGCAGGCGGAGAAGAACACAGGCAGTAAGGATGAGCGGTGGAGGAGCCGCAGGGCGGTGATGGAGAACAACGCTCCAGGCCGGACGTCAAACTGACGATTTTATGAAACCACTCCGACTGAGGACTCGTTAGGTCCAAAGATCAGCTCCCGTCTCTAATCCTAATCCAGCTGGAGTGATTAAGATTAAAGAAAAGATCTGTATCGACATTTGCCTGATTTTTTGTTTTTTGGGTTTTTTTGACGAGGTAGTGAAACTTACTTGGTGGGAAAATCTGAAAAAGTTGAGGTTTACAGATCGACTCCTCGACAGGTCTCTGCATCGAGGAGATCTTGGCTTCAACTTGTCTCTTCAACCGACAACATAGTTGCTCGTCAACTATACAGCTGTCTCTTGGATATTCCTCGCTGTAATGAGGAGAGGACGTACTCGTCTACTTATTCGGTGTTAGCTTGTTTTTGCTAATAGTTTTAGCCAATTTGAAGCGAATGAAACTTGAAACTTTTAGAAACATAACACCATACCTTCATACATTTTTATATAATTTTATCAGAGTATAGTAGAGTCTATCTGTATAAGGTTTACAGTTTGGCTAATATTTAAATATTTCAGCTTGCGTTTTGCCATTTTTGCAAACTACATACTTGGCTGAAATGAATCCATTTAAGCTTGCGTTTTGCCATTTTTGCAAACTCTTACATACTTGGCTGAAATGACTCCATTTCAGGCTGATTAATAGAACATTTTAGGAAAATATTGAAGAAATTCCTATTCCTGTACAAGTCAAATACCTAATGGCCAGATTTTTTTTTTTTTTTTTTTTGTCATCCATATGTTGAGCCCTAGTGGCGATCCATCGAACAACCACGTGTTCCTCAACAACTGTGAACCTCGCTGTTCAAATTTGTTCTGGTCCAGAGTCGTTTTTCATTTTCGATCTTTGATTACAGCTGTGGTTATCAATGATTTCCAAAGGACATGATCATAATACCAAATATACAGTAAGTCGAGCCTTGAACCCTGTTCTCATTATAGGTTCAATCCTGCTGCACCGCTCACTGGAGCCGCAGTACCACGTTTCCCCACAAGGATTAAGAAAGTCTAATCTCATTATAACAGCTGTGGGTCAGAGCGCCTGTTAAAAACAAACTGATTATCTTCAAAAGGACGAAACCAAACAGACGCGGCGACGGCGACGTCCGTGTGACACGGCGTCTCTGTGAGCAATAATACACAAAATACACAAACGAGGAGAAGAAGAGGCCGGACGAGAAGATGAAGATGAGATTTCCTTTTTCACACAATCTGTTGTTTTGGCTGCGGCTGGATTAAAACACACACACACACACACACACACACAGCTCTCGTGCTGAGTGGGTGACTGGCTGTGACTGGTGCTGTCAGATTAGTCCATTTAAAAGACGTATGTTTATTACAGCATGTGTGAATAGATGTGTGTGTGTGTGTTTGTGTGTGAACTCTCTTTACTATTTTCAGACTTTGATGCACACTGCATTATTAATGTTAAACCATGCAGGGAGAGAAACAGCCTTGTCTCATATAACACCACTGCTGATCACACACTCTCACACACACACACACACACTCTCTGTTATCACACACACACACACACACACACTCGGTTATCTATACTTATACTTGAAGAAAGAGTTTGAAAGAATTTCTTCTTTTTTAAAAAAAAAAAAAAAATCCAATAAAAGTCGCCCCCTGCTGGTCAGACTGGTGAGTAATTGACTGGAGTGGGTTTGTAGTTTCATTTTCTGGGTTTAATACGTTGAAACAGTAGGTGGCAGTAAAGCGCCCCTGAGTATACAGAGCAAGAACAGAAAGACCTTATACATGTAGTGGTTAAAGTTTTTTTTTTTTCTTATTGAGTTGTTAACATTGAGACTTCAATTTCACATTAGGTCGATAGCACCCCCTGCAGAGGAGGAGGGCAACTACAACCTTCCAAACGACTTCTGGTGTATTCTACACACAAGTGAAGAAATTCTGTCGAACACCAACGCGTCAACACACTCAGAGTCACAATGACAAAAGAATGGAAGATTCTAGAAACCAAAGCCGAGGACGTGCTTGGTTGAAGGGCTGCTGATGTGACACCTTTGTGAAGAAATCATTATCACTTCTTATTTGTCGTTTTGTTTGCAAATCCCCCACTGTAGGAAGAAACACGTTACACACAACACACACACACACACTAACACACTGGCAGGAGACCAGATGGTATAGTGGCAACATGACACTGCTAATACACCTAATGATGCTAATGATGCTAACGCAAGACAATGCAAACACAACACACACACTATGCACACACACACACACACACACACACACCAGAGCTGTCACAGATGTCACTATAGTCAAATACAAACACACGCTTCACTCCAGGGACCAGAATTTAAATGCAGATTAAGTTTCGGACCAAACAGAATTAACGTTTATTGAACAACAACACAAGGTCAACAAATCCACCGTCATGATGGGAGAAGGAGTTTATGGTAAACACGACGACGACCAAACACATGTTCAGCTCTGGAGGGGCCGCGTCAAACGATGGCGGCGGGCAGGATTCAGTCCGCTGGCCTCGAGTTTGACACAATTTGGGCAACGGGGCCAAAAACAGAGAAACGTGAACACAACCCTGTGCAGTAGTGACAGGAGTGAGTCGTAATTGCAGTAATTAAGAGTTGTTTCAACAAAGAGGAAACAATGATCCAAACTACACCCCCGCCACACACACGCACACGCACACGCACACACAAAAGTATCACTTGACAAATCTCGACATCACTCCACAGACACAGAGAGATTACAATCAGACTCCGCGCTCCTTAAGACAAATGCACGAGCCGAGACAAATCTTGTCTTTTCTTTTCTGATCGGTACGAGGAGGAGGTGGCGCTGCTGCTGCCCCAGGACGGCTGAGTACATTTTAATTGGTTGTCATCATTAAACTTTATCTCCCCAGTGACGACGGGGGAGGGAAGGGAGAGAAACATTTAATGCCCTGCCCATCACTCAAGGAGGAAAAGAGTCGACTGCAAGGAGCTGCTGCACAGGAGAGGAGAGAGGAGGAGGAGAGAAACCGAGGGGACAGGAGTCAGGAGGTAGGGAGGAGAGAGCGGTCCTACCTTGAACAGCCGCAGGATGTTGGCCACCATGATGGACACAGAGCTGGACGCGGCTCCGATCACTCCCACGATCTTATCGGGTTTGGTGAAGATGGGAGGATCTCCATTGGCACAGCGGACGTCAGAACCGTCCCGCTCAATCAGGGCCTGCACGAAAGTCAGGGACTGCTCCAGCGCGTAGGTGTCCCTGGAGCAGGTGTCCAGGATGCGGGCCCCCAGGGTGATGTTGGGCAGCAGTTCAGGGTCCTTGTTGATCAGGTCGATGGCAAACATCATGGCCTCCAGGCGGTGGATGCCCTTCTCCTTCTTCAACTCTCCGCAGGGCGTCCCACGATCACCGCGGGAGTGTATGGGGAATAATCCTCCGAGGATGATGTCTCCGTCCAGTCGGATGGAGTGGGCGTACTCCGGCGCCGCCTGGGGGTCCGTGGGCACTCGCTGAGAGGAGGCGCCGGGAAGGAGCGCGGTGTAGGAAATAGCCACAAACAAGAGGATGAAGGAGCGGGACTGTGGGGAGGAACGTGGTTTCCACTGACGCTCCATGGTTGGACAACAACAGACTAACACTCAGGTGGTCTCAGTCCAGGTCAAAGGTTTCACGTGGTCCAAAAAAATAAAGATTTATAGTAAGTACTGCCTTCCTAGTCGTCAAAAAGATAGGGGGAGTGGACCCCAGGTGTGGCGGTAGCTGAGCCCCATGAGCTGATCATATTCCAGAAGTGACTCAAAGAGATTTCAGCAGAAAAAAAGAAATCACCAGGGCAGGTTTTTTTTGGAGAACTCTAGTGGAGGAGTCGAGTCTTAAATCCACGAGTCACATCCTCCGACGGAGCCTGTTGACGAGAGACAGAAAGAACGTGACGTAAACATCAAGGGTGGAAACTGACGAACATGTAGAGAACCAGCCTGGGGGTAAAGCGGGGGGGCAGTAAAGTATGGATGTTCAGCACGACACACACACTGGTTCACTCGGCAGAGACTCGTAGGAGTTTGGTCTTCTCAGAAAACCTGTCGGAGAATTTGCAGTGTCATAGCGTAATTGAAATCACCAGGGCAGGTAGGTTTGTAGGGAAGGCCTTCGCGCACACACACACACAGACTCGCACACAGACTCACACACAGACTCACACACACACACTCATCTCTTGGCCTGTGGATGAGTGGAGCAGCTGTTGGACCGACAGCCCAGAGCCTGGACCGGCTCCTGGGGCGGTTCACACGGAGGTGCAGGTTACCTGCTGCAGGGAGGAGGAGACAACGGGGAGAAACAGAGGAGAAAAGACAGAGCTGGGTGAGAGGCAGACGGAAGGGAAAGGATGTGAGACGAGCACGAGGAGGGAAAACAGAAACAGAGGGGGCGGTGGAAGGACGGTGAGCGATGCCTCCGAGCAAACGTGTTGCATCATTTAAACACCTGCTGCTTCGGCTGCAGCCGAGTCCAGACGCTGAATCCCATGCACCTGCGGTCACGACAGGCGGATTTCCTGTTAGAAAAACGTCTCCGCTGCACCTAGCCACGTGCCCCCCCCGACCCGACCCAGTAATCGCTCCCCGCTCTGCACATTAAGCAGCCACGACCATGGAAAAGTGAAAGAGCAGGTTGGAACGTCTGGAAATTGGTTGTGACAAAATGCTCCGTTCCTGCGTGGATACGAGTGCTAATGTTCTTTCATTAGCCGGGGCCCTGGGGATTTATTTTCTCATTTGTCTTCCCTGATCCAAAATCCCACACCGCTTTTGAAGGGAGCCCTGTTTCTAGCCAGGAAGCGATTTGAAATGTTAAACCTGGGGTTCACCGTTGAATTCCTCAGTGGTGTAAAACAGCAGAGGGAAGAATCCCACTGAAGTTTCTGAACCGCGTCCAATACGATCCAAGGATGTCGGCTTGACGTTCCCTGCAACTCCTGAACACCTCACCAGTGTTCTGGGCCTTCACAAACCTTCACTGTAGCGCCCCCACCCTTTTTTTTTTTAGACAGGACTATTTTCCACACATTTACAGCCATTGTTTCCAAAAACTAGCACAATTTAGAAGTATTTTTACAAGTATTTTTGAAGTATTTTTTAAAGCATTTCAGTACATTCAGTTTTATCACAGTGACAAGAAAATTAGGATTTATTTGCCTGGCTGTGTCCCCATTTGCAGTAGCTCTGTCCTCCCAGGGAGACTTGCCCCCTTTGTTGAGAAACACCAATGTAGAGTTTGCAAGAATTTGAATTCGTTTTCAGTCAAAAAAAAAAAAAAAAGGTTCAATTTAGGTTCAGTCCAATCACGTGGCCTTTACAGAGGTGCTCAAAATGACTCTACTGTACTTGGGTCAAAAATTAGCTAAATATATTTAGCTTTCAACCCCATCAACTAGCAAATGTGAGAAACATGACCTGGCACTAAATCGCAGCAGGTCGGAAAACTAGCCACAAGAGGCGCTCAAGCGCAAAGCAAACACACTGCAATTTTTTTTTTTTTTTTACAAACAGATTTATTTAACAGATTTGCTTCAAATATTATCTTGTAACATGATGGTGGAGAAACAAGCCCCGCCCCCGGTCCCCATGGCCAGTTAATTGCTTAAGTCTTCTGTCCCTGCTGATACCACGAGACACGAGGCTCTACCCATAATCCTGAGTTGCATCGATTGCATTAAACACAAAACAGATTTTTCACTGCCTTCTCATTAAATGTAGTCGCTGAAACAGAAAAACTGACAATGATTTTCTGAAGAGCAGAGCATTTCTAAAAAGTTTTTTTTTTTTTTTATAACTTTTCCACAATTCTGCTGGATTTTTTCCCAATTCCGAGGGAAGAGTCCAAGGGCTCTTTTCCCAAGAGCCTCGGACAGGATTTTGGGCTCCGATCTCATCACAGCTCTCCTGACAAATCCATCAGTAATTCGATTCTGTCCCAATTAATTCATCGGTTTCTCTCCACTCTAAATGGAAATGGGTCAGAGCCAGTCGTGCACAGCCAAAGCAGCCATGATTAAAAACCTCTGCTTCATATATAGGTTATGAAGCTGCGATTCATCTGCTCTCCATATACTGTACACACACAGCAGAAGTGTTTAATCAACACTTTTTTTTTCTCCCCTCCATAGGAGTCACACACTCAGTTTTGTTCTCTGACAAAAGCCCAAATGAGGCTCAGGCCTCTTTTAATGGATCCCGATGACGTGCAGTTATTGGATTATTACCCGGACTCTCATCATCTGATGGACTAATTGGGTCCAAAATAACCGCCAGCCTCGGGTTCTGTTGATCATTTCCCTTGGGTTTGCTACTTATTCTACCTTCCAGCCTTGAAAATGACTCTTCCTCGTGGACGTGGGCTAAGCTAACGGAAGATTGAACACATTTGGTGGAAAGGATGAGGACAGCGTTAACGATTCAGAGTAATAGTTGCGTAAGGAATATTTAAAAAAAAAAAAAAAATAGAAGAATTGTCAAAACTCCAATTGTTCACCAACGTACTGTAGCTTTTGTGATTAATCGGAATTAATGGTATTTAATCATGATTAACATTAATCAGGGTCATATTTAATTGTGATTAATCAACAATAAGTGGATGGAGAGTGGGATTATCATATATATATACACAGTGCGTTACAGTTAATTTAATCCGATTAATCTTTGCACATTTATTAACATGATTAATGTTATGGTTACATTTGCTCATAAATACGTGCCGTGGATGCTGCCCTCTGCCTGCGTTTTCCCACATTTGCTGCTTTCTCTTGAATGCTGTTTTTCAAAAGTTACCAGTGAAGGTCTACAGGTGGCACTAAAGTAACTTTAAAGGTTAAAACCGCCCAAAACGACGACAGGTCCGTCGCATTTAACTGACATCTGATTTACAGCAGATAATAAAAGTCGAGCTTCAAACGTGTCACTTGTGCGTTGACCCTCTTAATAACTTAATAACTGTTAATCTCTCCGTCTTCACCTGCTCCCCGGAGACTCGTCACTTTTTATGATGTTTAAACAAAACAAAAAAAGAAGAGGAGCAAACACAAGATTCTTGATTCTGTGTGAGGAGGAGGAGGAGGAGGAGATTCCTCTGTCAGCTCTGATTGGACATTTTACAGCAAGCATGCCTGGACCCTAGGGGGCAGCAGTCACATCATCCCTTTTTTTAATTTACACCCCTGGCTGCCTGTTTAAAGGTGAGTGTTTCCCCACTCCTGCTCCTCCTCCCCTCTCCTCCCCTCTCCTCTCTCCTCCCTGCCTCACGCTCGGCCTCCTTTGTCGTCATCTCTTCATTATGCCACCCTCTGCAGGACTCCCTCCCTCCCTCCCTCCCTCCCTCCCTCCATCTCACAGGTGCTCCTCTTTTCAGAAAGTGATAGCCGCTCCCCTCCTCCCTCTCCTCCTCCCTCTCCTTCTCCTCCTCCCCCTCCTCCCTCTCTAAAGGAGGCGATCCTCTCCTCTGAGTCTCCCTCTCTCAGCGACTGTGTTTGCTCCTTCTGTCATGTCCCTCTTGGCACTCTGTCATTTTTTCAGCCTGCACCTGTTCCTGACCATCAGCCACTTGGTCCCGGAACATTTGTTTTGTGTTATTTAAAAAAAAAAAAAAAAAGAAGAAGAAGAAGAAGAAATCATCATCTAAAAATGCAACACCATCAGTACAGTTCACACAAACGGCTCTAAACCCTAACACCCCCTGGAGGCCAAACTGGGATCAAGAAAATAACGTGTGGATAAATAGTCTCCAAAAACCAAGCCATGCAGGGATGCTGCCCTTTGCTTGCATTCTCCCTTTTACTGCTGTGTTTAGCAGTACAGCCAACAGGTGGCAGTAAAGCATCTTATAAAAATGCAAAAATTGTTGGTAAAACCACAGCAAAAATATAGTAGCTGTTGTGGGTGTACAGCCCCATAGCTCTGAGCTCTAGAATACAACAACCAAATGAGCAAATTACAAACTTTGATTAAACAAAATACCTTATAACAACAGTGCCTTTTTGGAGCAGGATGTATCTATAGCGCCCCCTGCAGGGATCTGAATGCTGTGTTTACTCACGTTATGCTTAGTTTTTTTATATATATATCAAATTAGAGACCAGTTGAAAGACTGCCCCCTCCCAAGAAAAGCAATACACACGTCACAAAAATGAACAATCACATTACAAATTAAGTTATTATCACCCACTCAGTATCTGTGACAGGACATTATTTGCGAAATGAATAAATAAATCAAACTGTTTATTATTTAAATTAATACAAAAAATGTATTTTCTGTCCTTTGAAGTGAATTCTCTCTGTGATCAAAAACATTTTTTATCTAATCCCACGTCATTGTTGATATCGATTTTTTTTTCTTTCCTGCAATTGAAGACGTTCAATCCCAGCCTGCCTTGTGCTTCACTCATTTATTTGAACGCCTTTTTTCACCTCGTGCCTCTGGAGATAACGCAGCCTGCAGGTTCAGAACCAAGACTATATGTGAGATCAAAGTCTCCGGGTGTTGGATCATTATCATCCCCTACAGGCTTCTCTGAGAAGATCCAGCTCCGGTGGCATTCTGACTGTAGCCCTAATTAAAACACTGCCGTCCACAGTCAAACACAGGCGGCACTGATGTCTATTCGGAGGACGCAGCTTCTTTCTTCTCGCGTTTTGCCCCCCCTCACCCACCCACCAACCAACCAACCAACCAACCCTCCACCCCAACACTCCCGCAACATTAGAGTTACTCACCCACCATCAAACATCCCCGCTGCACAGCATCCGTGTGGGAAATGACAAATGACGACTGGGAATCAACAACATTCCAACATGAGATGAGGCACAAAAAAAAAAGAAAGAAAAAAAAAACCCCAGCGCTCAGAAGTCCGTCAGTGGAGGAATGTGAGGCTCCCCACAGGCAGCAGCTGCTGCAGGGTGGCTTTAAGACCATTAAGGGATGGAGGGAGTGTGAGATATATACCTTCAGAAAATCAAATCCATCCGAGAGTGAGTGAGGAATGCTGGGAACAGCTCCATCCTCGTCCTCCTCCTTCTCCTCCGGAGTCTTCAGAGTCTCTGCTCGCCTCAGGCAACTTCCTTGCGGAGCTCAGCAGTTTTTTCCCCTTCCTATCCCAAAAAAAAAAAAAAAAAAAAAAAAGCCAATCCTCTTGGAGTGAGATGTGGTATTCCAAAGGATGGTGAAAGATTTCGGGGGAAAAAAATGAAAATCCTCAAAAATGACACTTAGAAAGACGGAGGTTGTGGGTTTGGAAAGTGCGTCCGTCGTGACAGAGAGGCAGGTGGAAATGTTTGTCTCCCCCAGAATCCTGCACTTGTTTAGTGGACAAAAAAAGAGAGAAGCAGGCAGCCTGGAATAAAGGAGACACGAAGAATGAGAGCGGGAGTAAAGGAGAGAG